TTCTTGGAACGAACAAGGGACCTCAGGAGGGGGGCCTGCAGTTGGACCCTTCCCCGTCTCATTTTTCCAAGCCTCCTTGGAGTATGACGGTAGCTTAGCAACATAAGGCTCTGAATCTGATCTGTTTCTGAAGGACTATGAGTTATCAGTTTGAATCAAGGCTGACACAGACAGCTTACTCATAATACTTTCATTATGAACATGTCTGAATGTTTAAAGTCTAATTGGCATATCCAGTTTGTGACGAGCCATGTGACAAAGACAATAGTTAGCCCCCTAAAAATTGCCTTAACCATTATGTTAAACCAGCTGCCTGCCAAAAACATAGCCATGTGGGTCAATTAGCTTATTTTGACCCAATTTTTTCCATTATGATTATTTCAACCAAGGCAGCAACTATGTAAGAAGTTGATTAAAAAGCACAGGTCCTGTAATGGATACAGGAACGTTCCCACGTTTCTGCCCATCCCTTGAAGGACTCCTCGATCAGTCAGTAAGTTTAAGTACATTTAACTGATAATACTTTTGAATAAATGACTTTGTTAATGAGAATTGTTACAATGTAGTATTGTGATGGATGAATAGAGACTGTGATATAAAAACCGTGACATTTGGCCTTTACTGTGTAGACAGTGTTTACTGGTTCATCTTGTTCCAAACCAAGTTCATTTGTTCCAGGAAGTCTGAGGCTGTTTGACCAATTCATTCCTGAGCAAGCAGCACGACTCCTCATTGTCTCGGCCGCAGGACTAATTCAGCCGCTCTTACAACAAGAAATCTGTTGTGTATTTTTCCTTCATATCTACATGATGAATCCTGTTGAAGAAAAAAGCTTTGTCATTATTTGTGTGCAGGGTTCTTCCCAACAGGATAAAGCAGTTTAAATTTCACCTTGTCCATATACAACATTAAAAAGCTGCTTATATTTAAATACAGCAATAATAATAACCCAATAATACAATGTATATAATAATAATAAAGTGGTTTCACATAACGAGTACTTTTAATTTGTTTATACTTTAAATATATTTGATTATACTTCTGTATTATGCAGGACTTTTACTTGTAACAGAGTCTTGTTACACTTAAAACTACTTCATATTACTAAAAATGAGCACGGTTCTCCTTCCACTGCTGTGTAAATCTGACAAAAATAACACCAAACATGATGTTGCTGTTGATTTTTAATAGAAATAATAATAATCAAAGACTACCTTGAAGGAGGAAACCATTCTAAATATTGAGCTCTAAAACAGTAGGCTGAGCAAAAATACATATGTCACACCTGTAAGGTTACGGGAGGTTGGACGGGTTTCAAATTCAAGCAGACTGCGCAGAGGTGATTCATGAATGTTGTGTTTTCCTGTTCTCTAGAGGGGTAACCTGAGAAGTCCAAAGCCAAATGATCCACCCATGGCTCTAATTTCAACACACTGGGAAGCCATGCCAGGATTAACTGTTGTTTAAATCAATAAACTTAAGCACTGAAGCATTGATTTAAATGTTTGAACTCCTGTAGTGCTTCAAACAGAAGTGTGTAGATTATTTAGGCTATTTAAAATACTACTCCGTAAGAGTCCTTCATCCAAAATGCTAATCAAAGTCAGCTAGATGTACCTACAGTATCAGTACTGGTTCTGCAGTAACATGTCCACTCTGACTGATATCTTATTCCTTTATTAGATTCTTATTACTGATGCCTCTTTTGATACAGTATTAAAGCAGCATTTTGCTGTTGTAGCAGCTCGAGGTGGAGCTAGTTTTAACTATATACGTTATTTTTAACTATTTTATATACAGTTTTTACTACTTTATATATGTTGAAGAATTATTGTGAGCCAGGTTCAGATGTGAAGGTTTGGAGACTGATGAAGACTCAACATAGCACAGTTTATTGAGCCCAGCCGAGGAGATACTGCGCCAGAACACAACATGTGAACACATCAAATGCCAACACCAAATCTGAAGGATAACATCTTCTGGTCCCTTTTATGTTTCTGTCTTCCCCTTAGTGTAGTGGTCGGCAATAGGCGGACTGCGGGCCAGAGCTGGCCTGCCAGCAATAATATCTGGCCCCCGGACAGATTGCTTTGGTGACAGAAAATAAATAAATAAATAAATTGATGTGGCTGGTGCTGAAATAGATTTGTCATGACAGCAACAGTTACCTACATAATCACTTCCTATTAAGTGATTGTGCCTCCAAAATAAAAGCATGAGGAATGTTTTTTGCAGCAATGCTTTATGTCGATTTTATTGAGAGCTTTTACTTTGAAAAGTTCTGAAGGACATTCAAAATGGCTTAACCATTACGGACGCTGAAGAGTATCTATGGCGTAAAATAATTACGCTTTGTCACGCTGTGTGACAGCATTGGTAATGACGAGATGAGAATGTGTTGGTTTGCTAGTTTTAACTACTTTTTACACAGTTAGCTGGTTTTATACGCTAGTTTTCACTGATTTTTAAACCGTTAGCTAGATCAGTCCAGTCATTCCCAACAGTCATCAGATAAAGCTGAGTGGTTGTTCTGTTTTCAGATGGACTTTGGAGAGAGTGGATAATTTGACCTCTTTGACCTCAGTTATTGAAATGAAACAATTTTTAGAAATCCAACAAGATTCACATTTCAGAAGACAAAAAGATTTATCTGTAACAACGCGTTGTATTTTTTAAAAATTCATCATGTTTGTTTTTAATGTAAAATCAAAATTTATAAAAAATATCAGTTACTACAGATTGAATAAATGTAGTACATTTGGAGTACAAGTAAGGCCTATAAGGTAGCATGAAATGGTAATACTCAAATAAAGTACCCCAATATTGTACTTAAGAGCAGTACTTAGTGTAATATTAGTGTAGTGTTTAATGTAGGCTGCTTAGCTTGGAGAAGGTGACATGTTCTGTGTCACATGCTGTGAAACAGGTGATAGGGGAGGTGTTGGGCGTTTCATTGGACAGGTTTGTTTGTGTTGGAGGTAGACAGAAGGAGGCGAGAGTGAGGGAGGGAAGAAGAAGGTTATTTATGCAGGTGCAGATCTGATGATATGGACTTACAGTTATGGCTTTCTACAAAGTGATCTGTGTGGCGACTCTGCTGACTCTCCTGACACAAGGTAAGGACCCTCCTCAACACGCACACCTGAACCAATCATGTTTGAGATATAACAACCGCTGTATGAGGAGGAACTACAGTTGTCATATCAGTGTAATGGAATAAAAATAGTTTTGCACAAAACTCATGGCTTCATAATTTACAAATTTGCCTGGATGCATGAAAGTTAAATAACGTGCATTGATGACATGCTTCACTGTAATTGTTACATATGACAATAAAGAACTGTACCTATTTTCTAATCATGGCAGATAATCATTGTAAAGGAATTTAGAGTGAAATAACGGCTATCTTTCCTGTCAATCAGTTTGCTTTTAGCCTCTGAGACCTGCATCTTTCCGTTGTTGCATACATTTTTGTTTTGCCTTGTAAAGTATACATTTTTTACAGCGTTATCAAGTTTCACTGTCCCCAGAATCAGCACAACCTCAGCGAATTTTATACATCACTCGATAAAGACTTCTATACACTAAAATGGTGTTTATAAGCCCATAAAAACTTTGTCATTACCTCCATGTTTAGCCTTCTGAACTTCACACGCAGCCAATTTAATCTCTTAAAGTTTCTGTTTTAATTGCAAGACTGTGTGTGATGTGATTCTAATTTAGTTTCGCCACACAATAATATTTATGAAGCTTTATCTATGTCACACCTGTGATTTGGTCTAGTAAAATGAATTTAAAAAAATGTATACCTCCTTTAACTAATTTCAAGTGGTTTGGCATTAATTCATTTATTTGAAGGAATATGTGGTTTGCAGAAACTAATTGGGTGTGACGGAAACTTTCACTCAATCCAAGGAACAGTTCATTAATTTTGCAACTTTAAAAATTACATTAACATGAAGGTGACACTTTAATAGGTATAGTTGTGTAATTTGATCCTTAATAGACCAAAAGGAAAACCTTCACCAAACCTTCTTATTCTGTTCAGTCTGTCCTTGTAGTAAGAGTCTTTATTTAGCAAACTAAGAAAACTATTTGTGGATTTAATTTTTAGCCATTTAAGTGAATTTTTCTATTTAATGGTATGTAGATAGATTAGACAGACAGGTAGATCACAACAACTCAAACCTCTTTTAAGGAATATTTGAGGTCACTGCACTGAGATCATGTGACAACAGATTTACACCATCTTGGCTAAGAGAAATGTTTACAGCAGATGGGTTTCAGGTAAACATGGAGCCAAACCTCGTTATGTCCGATTGCAACTCCATCCAGGAGCAGAGTGAGCCAAGTCCCAGTTAATAATTTAGTAACTGAATATGGCTGAAAATGAGGAACATTTTTTCAAGTTATGCAAATCTCTGACAAACATAACCCACAATTACTAAACCCAAACTTAAAACAGAGCAATAGACACATATATATAATATTTACTCATTTTATGATATGAGATGGAAATGCATGTTTTTTTAATTTTGTAATTAATATAAGTAATAGTATTTTCTAAAAGAATGAAAGGTTTACAATCATTTCTGCTCACCACCACAACACACTGACCAATGGGTTTAAGGGTTAAATGCCTTGTGTTCAGGAGGCAGAGACGACGTTCAAGGTTCAATTTATTCAACTATTAAACTTGTAATATACAAACCTGCCGTGCTAATCAACCAACACTGATTACCAACACATAGGAGAGAAATACCCACAACATCAAATCATATTTGATGAGACAAACTACTAAAAAAAGTCTAAACAACATAAAGCAGACTATTTTAAATCCCAGTTCTCTACAGAAAGTTGTGGTTGCTGTTATATTCCCTTTGGGATGTAATGCTGCTCTCTGATCTGTGAGTAGAACTAAAAACCTTCAGCGCACTTCACTGACCTTTAATCCCACATATTACAGAGTGATACGCTTGGTTTATAAGTAAACACAAAACCAGTCCAGGGCCACAGCGTGTGTGTTTGTGTGTCTGCGCATTTACTGTAAGACTGCAGGCTGATCATTGCTTCCTTGTTCTCTGTTGTATTTGGTTTCACATGTCCTTGTGTATTGTCGCTAGCTTTACTTCTTGTTTTATTTTCAGTTTCACAGTGTGTGTGTGTGTGTGTGTGTGTGTATGTGTGTATTGCCCTCAGTTCTGTTCAGTCCTCGTGGTGTCATCTTCATATGTTGAGTGTTCTGCCTCATGCTCTGTGTCCCTGGATTTGTGGATATTCCCTGTGTTTGGATTACTTTAACCTGTTATTGGATTTAACCCGCGCTGGTCGGCCTTTGTTGGATTTTCCCTTTTGTTTGGACTCTCGCCGTGATCTAAGAAGTAAGCCTGTTTTGTTAGTAAGCCTGTTTTGTTTTCTTAATAAACCGTTTTGAACTGCATCCACCCAGCCACTGTCTTAATTTTGGGCCCACACTCCTGTTTTCCTGCCGTAACACTCAGCTATTACTGTAATAAATACCATTCAGGTCCCACAGATTAGTATAAATATTCTATAGCTGAAATAAGACAAAACAGAAATACCATCAGATTTTGATAGCTAATACATACTGCACAGTTCTTTTATAAATGACACTAAAATCATCGAAAACAGTTAATAATGATCAGAAACATGGATTTAATATATGAACTAATATATATTACTTTTTTACAGTAAAGAGAACACAATGCAACACAGAAAACCAACACGTATAAATGCTCGCTGCGGCTTGGCAACACGCGTAGACTCGACAAAGAAATATAAGTCGGCCTTAATGATGTGGATGGACTTTCCAGGGTTTGAGCACTGTGTGAATCAAGCAACTACTGACTTATTTAAAGTTTCAAGTTAAATAGCATTACTGACTTATGTCATGTAAGTGAATAATAATAATCTTTATTTATAGAGCACTTTTCAAAATCATTAACAAAGTGCTTTTCACAAGAGCAAAGACAATAAAACACATCAACCAAAAAAGATACACGGTAAAAGCAGGAAGAAACACAAGAAATTAAAATACAGTTAAAAGAAAAATAAATTTAAATCAGCTAAAATCAGGAAAGGCTCTTCTATAAAAGTATATTTCTAAAAGGTTCACTGCAGGGTTCAGTTACGTGGGAGCTCAGGGTCTCAGCTATGACTGACAGGATGGCTGCACTTCTCCACCATCAGCCACTGTCTGCGCAGTTTTGACCCAACAGGTTGAGTCTGCGACCCGCGAACTTGAACAACATGTTGTTTTGTACTGTTTTTGTTTGTGCTCATTTGTTTAGTATTACTGGCTTTATGATGCATCCTCCAATTAATACAGTGCTACATATGATAATATGCTTGCTACTGTGTGCTGGTGGCCAGCAGTAAATAATAAATAAAATAATAACACTTTAATATTATACCTACCATGAAAGGCGGATTTGCGGTCTCTCCTTGAGCAATAGTCTTTGATGGCATTTTTCAGGCTAGGACAAGTAGTGGACTGCTGTGTGTGTGTTTGGGTGTTTGTGAGAGACAGAAATGTTGAATCATGTAATAAGCAATGACTTCTAAGTGAGAAGGCTTTTGCAGTAATCCAGGCTTTATGAGACAAAGACGTGGAAAATGGTCTCATTGTCCTTAAAAGTTAACATCGATTGTATATTTGATATATTTCAAAGATGGTAAAAACAACAAAGCAACTTTTGGTCAAGAAGAAGAGGAAATGATGATCCACAGTTCTTGACATTTTTAACATTCTTGGAAACAGAAAATCAAAGTATCAGTTACAGAAAGTTGAAATGTATGGAAGTTTTATTTAGCTAAACATGTGTGTGTATAGTCCTCAGAATCAGAATCAGTTTTACAAGAATTGTTCCTGTCAGAATGATGGCTTGTGGGAAGGACACATAACCTCTGGCACTTTTGTTGCCAGCAGTTTAGACATTAACGGCTGTGTGATGTGTTCTTTTGAGGGGAGCAAGTTTACACAGTTAAACAAGCTGCACACTCACTACTTTACATTGTAGCAAAGCGTCATTTGTTCAGTGTTGTCACATGAAAAGATATAATTAAATATTTACACAAATGTGAGGGGTGAACTCACTTTTGTGAGATACTGTATATGCTGTACAGGACATATTTGCTGTATAAGACATTTGAAGTGACTCTGGACTCTGCAAACTCCTTTTCTGTAACTGGAAAGTTATTTGTTGATCTGTTAGCTGAGAGAAGACATAGTTAAAAGTGTGTCACTTTTCAAAAATATAGTGTTTTAATCAGTTTAGTAATAAATGTTACAGATGATCACAAATTTCTTCCCATTTAATATCACGTGTCAATATAGCATGAGACTTATCAGTGAATATAAATACAAAGTTGTTGTTTCAGAAGTGTTTTTTGTTTGTTTTCTATTTTCAGAGTCTCACTCACAACTAGATGGTAAGTCAAAGTTTCTATGCTCACTTTTTTGATTTCCTGTCCGTCTGTTCGGGACATTCTAAACATGTATTTGGGACGTAAACATTTTGTTTATAGTTTCATTATTGTTAGTATTTGCTATTAACTCCACAATACCACACATAATACAGCAAATAAAAGCAATGAAACATCTATACTAATCATGAATGGTAAATAAAACACAGCACAATCCCGGGATCATAATCTTCAACCAAGAGTTCAGGTTTATAATCCTGAAGGAGTGAACAGGGCAAACAAGGAGGGGAGAGTATTGCTCACTCTGTCTTTATTGTCTCTCTCCTCAGTGTGTGGTCAGCCAACACTCAACACCAAGATTGTTGGAGGACAGGTGGCCTCTGCAGGCAGCTGGCCCTGGCAGGCCAGTCTGCAAACCTCTGGGTCCCACTTCTGTGGAGGATCCCTCATTAACAATGAATGGGTGCTGACTGCTGCTCACTGCTTCTACAGGTAAGCAGTGAGGGTCGGGCTGCAACATGCCATGCAGTGTTGTAAACAGCCTGGCTTGGGGTGGACCAAACCAAGGGGTCGCAGGAAAAATCTGAGAGGTCTCGAGATGATTAAGAGTTAAAAAGTTAAAACATCAGATATTGAAACACAATGAATTCATCCATCCATCGGCAACCGCCTATCCTGCATGCAGGGTCGCGGGACATAATGAATTAGTATTTTTAATTACATTTGTCTTTGTTCCCTCTCCCTTTGGGATAAAACAGTTTACAATTGGAGGTCTCCATGTCAACAGATGCAAAGAAGACTGGAAAATTATTAATGCACATGAACAACTAAGTTGAGGGAATGATTTGTAATATAATGAGGATACAAATTACTCACTTGCGGGAATGATTTCTCCACATCTGTCAGGCTCCATACAAACTACACTAGATCTGGTCTTAAAATGGACTTAGTGTCTGCTGAAGTGCTCCTGATTACAGTTCTGCTTTTCACGTCTTTGCACTGTTTTGTTTCTCTTCTGATTACAGCACAGGCATAGACCCAAACACTCTGACTGTGTCTCTGGGTCTCCAGACTCTACAGGGATCAAACCCCAATCAAGTGACTCAGACAATCTCACAGACCATCATTAATCCCGACTATAACCCCAATAATCATGACAACGACATCTGCCTCCTGAAGCTCTCCTCACCGGTGACTTTCACCATCTACATCCAGCCCGTCTGCCTGGCAGCTCCAGGCAGCACCTTCTACAACGGCACTGGAGCCTGGGTCACCGGCTGGGGCGACATTGCAAGTGATGGTGGGTCAGAAAGCACCTGGAGTACATTTATTTTCAGTGTGATTACACTGGCAACAACTGTGTTTTCCCAGATATGTCGATTCCAAAATGTAGTTGTTCCTTTATCCCACCTTTAACTCTGTTAGGGCTACTTTTGTCATAATCTGTCTACGCAATAAGCAGTTTGTTCTGATGATGCCACTAGAGGAAAAGTCATTAAAGATTCTTTAAACAAAGAAAAGTTTTATTTACATCAACAAGTTTTCACCAAATCACATTGTGTGCCATTTAGTTCTAGCAGATGTATCGAATGCGTATTCTTCATCATTAAACAGTTGCAAAGCAGATTTCCAAACATTTTAAACTATGTATTGTTTACATCCATCTTTGTTTGAAGGCATTCTTCTTCTTTGTTGCCTTTGTTGGTGCTTCGACCGATGCCAATATTTAGAGAGCAGTGAAGCTGATATCATGATGTTTTGCTTGTTTTTTCAATGATCTGATGAATTAAAGAAATTTACTGGGTTATGACTGAGGAAATTTAGGCAAACGTAAACAGAGTTATATAGTGCAGGGCTTGAAAACTATCTTTGAGATCTACCTGTGCGACACCACTTGTGTTGTTCACTAAACTGAATTTGTTTCTCTTTAGTGTCCCTTCCATCCCCAGGAAACCTGATGGAGGTGCAGGTTCCGGTTGTGGGGAACAGAGAGTGTAACTGTAACTATGGAGTGGGCTCAATCACAAACAACATGATGTGCGCCGGGTTAAGTGCTGGAGGGAAGGACTCCTGTCAGGTGATCATTTTAACTCCTGTATTTGTATCAGATTTCATCTTCTGCAAAGATTCCTTCTACTAAATGTTTTACTCTTTAAAGGGGGATTCAGGAGGTCCGATGGTGAGCAAGCAGGGCGGTCGCTGGATCCAGGAGGGAGTCGTCAGTTTTGGTAACGGCTGTGCCCTGCCTAATTTCCCAGGAGTCTACACCCGAGTGTCCCAGTATCAGTCCTGGATCAACAGCCAGATCACCAGCAACCAGCCAGGCTTCATCACCTTCACGTCCACTGGGACTGACGGTGACCTCAGCGTCAACTGTCCTGGACTGCCACCACCTCCAACCACCTTGGTGCCAACAACTCTCACTTCAACAACTCTCACTTCAACAACTCTCGCTCCAACAACCACAGCCCTGTGTAAGTGCCTGCCATGCCAGCACTTTGTAAACATTGATATTTAACCCTATTTCTCTGTGGAAAGCTTTAAAATTTGATATTTTTCTTCTACACAGTATAACAGTTTCATATATATTCTGTATCCTGTTTTGTTTGATATATTTGGACACTTTGGGATCTCCACTAAAATTTATCATGAAGTTCTGTGAGTTTCAACAAAGTTTGATTAAAACAACATGATTATGGACTGAGATTAAAAGGCTTTTTAAAGAAAAGGTTTCGATTATCTACCTTTTGTTTTTCTCTCCAGCTGTGGTCTGTGGCCAAGCCCCACTGAATTCACGTATTCTGGGAGGAAGCACGTTGGCGACAGCTGGTGTTTGGCCATGGATGGCGAGCCTACAGAACAATGGAAGTCATGTGTGTGGTGGGACTCTGGTGGCTTTAGACTTTGTGTTGAGCGACGCCAACTGCTTCTCAAGGTGAGAAACCTGGAGTGATGTCCTGGATGGCATAAAGTGTTTTTTGAGTGTTTTTAAACACTCGATAGGAACAAGTCTAAGAGTGCACAGCTAGCAGCTCCGAGACACTGTACTATGAGCTAAAAACACTAATATCAAGATGCTACCAGACTTGACACAATGATAATGCTAATGTGGCGCCTACAACTGTTTTGTCATGTTAAATTGTTTTGTGTATTGGTCAGTATAATGGATTTCAGTAGTATTTTTAAGGGTGCAATTGCTCAATTGTGCCATAAGGGGGAGGGTCCACTTATGCAAATGCTAGTAGGGCTGCGTGATGCTTCTGCTCCTCAAACAGAGACCAGACTGCTGAGCAGTCACAAGTAACATCTCCTGTCTCTGAATTTCCTGTTCAAAACAGGTTAGCAGTTTGTTACAGTTTGCTGCTATACATTTCTAAGGACTTTAAAAGCCGTCATTATGTTTTTCTGACAACGTTTTATGTGTAAAACAGAGGTTTATTCAGTTGAGAGACTTTGAATTGAAGTGTAGCTAGCTCCCGTGTAAAAAGTTCAGCCAACATGGCGGCCTTCCTTATGTTTATGCCTGTTGCTCCTGGACGCGTGCACCTTTCTCTGTCTTTGTTAAAGCTTAAGCTTATAAAGTACTTAAAAAATATCTAATCTAGTCGTTTGTTAAAGTCATGTCACCGTGATGAAACTGATGTAGTTTTTAATGTGTCGTAAAGGTTCAAGAGATATAATGTAGGCCTCTGTATTGTTTTTCTATTTTGTTTTATCTCCCACAGTTCACCCATACCGTCTGAATGGACTGTCATTTTGGGTCGTTTGAATCAGAATGGATCCAACCCCTTTGAGGTGGAATTGAATGTGACAAATGTCACTCTGAGCAACCTCACTGGGTCTAATGTAGCAGTGCTGCGTCTGGCAACCAGACCCACCCTGTCCAACCACATCCAGCCCATCTGCCTGGACAACGGACAAACCTTCACTGTGGGCTCGACGTGCTGGGCTGCTGGCTGGAGCGCCGGGCAAGGAGGGGGTGAGTCCATAAGACAGTTTGACACAATAATGCTAACTCTCTGCATCATTGATTAAACATTGAGGCCTTTGCACATTGGTTTTGGCACTAACAAATTAGTAAAAGTATGTATGTCAGTTTAGTTTACGTCCCTGTTATCTGGATCTGATTCAGATGTTTGACTTTGAATTTTCTTATTTTAGTTTATCAAGTTCTGCACGAGTTCCAGACCACGGTGGTAAACTGTGGAAATGCTTCAACGAGTGGCAGCATTTGTACAAGCTTTTTTACTTTGGGGCAGGTGAGTAATGAGAGCAGGAGGTTTTACTTTGAGGTGTCTTTCTATTTTATGGAGGTGTTTGTGGATCCTTGAACATTAGAAACTTGAGTTTATTCTTGACCTTGATAACTGTTGAAACATACCAACAAGCGCCAAAGCCAGAGAGAAGGAACAGAACCACCTGAAGGGGGCACTTACAGCCTGTGGATACCCTAAATGGACCTTTGTGAAAACAGCCACAAGATCCAAGAAGAACAAAACTACAGGGGAGGAGGAAAAGAAGGTCAAACGCAACAACATTGTGATTCCATACGTGTCTGGAGTATCAGAGAAACTCAGGAGGATTTTCAACAAACATAACATCCCTGTGTTTTTTAAACCCAAGAACACAATAAGACAGATGCTGGTCCACCCCAAAGACCGCACACCCAAACACAAGAAAAGCAATCTAGTGTATGCGGTCCAATGCAGTGAGGAATGCACAGACCTGTATATTGGGGAGACTAAACAACCACTACACAAACGCATGGCTCAACACAGAAGGGCCAACTCCTCAGGTCAAGACTCTGCAGTCTACTTACATCTGAAGGACAGAGGACACTCGTTTGAGGACCACCAGGTGCACATTTTAGACAGAGAAGATGGATGGTTTGAAAGAGGTGTCAAGGAAGCATCTACACCAGGGTGGAGAAGCCGTCATTGAACAGAGGAGGGGGTCTACGCCACCACTTATCCCCCACTTACAATGCTGTCCTTTCATCACTTCCCAGGAAACTCAACAAACGTAACCTATTGGCCTCAGGTGAAGATACCAACGATGGTCGTTCAGTCTTGGCCACAGGTAGTCTTAACGACAGTAACGACTGTCGTCACAGCAACCAGGAACACTAACGAACCAGCGGTATCGATGACCCGGGCCAACGACCCCACTGAGGTTAAATAGCTGAGTTTCCCTGCCAGTCAGTCAGAACTGAAGAAGTCCTTTGGATGAGGGACGAAACGTCTTCCAGTATCTTCAACCAAGTCCAGTTGCCCTTGACTTTAACCTTCTTTGGATGTTGAAACAATCTCAAAACAAGCTCCATTTAGTTGTACATAAATACTGTAAATATTTATATGTACACACACAGAAATATATCTATAGCTAGCTGCCAGTTAGCTTAACTTTGTGTACAGACTGAAAACAGCTAGCTTGACACTGTGAAATGGTAACAAAATCCAGCCCCTCTGACGTTCACTCACTCAGCTCCTTTTTGTTCTTGAGCTGTGGAGATGCTGGCAGGTGGATTTTGTTATCTTCGAACAGAGCTGTTTCCCTGTTTCCTATCTATATGATAAGCTAAGTTAACCTGTATAACACATTTGGTGAAGCTAAGAAAAAAAATTTCTGTAGTTTCATAAAAATGTTGGACTTGAACATTTCCGTCTTGCTTGTTTGTTCAGGGTGGTTCTGGCGGTCCAGTGATGTGTAAGCAGGGCAGCTCTTGGTTCCAGGCAGCAGTGTTGTCAGTTGAAAACAACAGCACCAGTCAAACACGAGCAGATCCAGTGATGGTCTTCACCAAACTCAGCCGCTTTGAAACCTTCCTGACTCAGACAGTGGGGACGTTCTTATCTCCAGCCTCCAACACCACCACCACCACCACCAGCAGCAGCACAGCTGCAACCAATACTCTCACCACCAGCAGGGGCGCTCCTGCTCACTCCCCCTTCTTCTTCTTCCATCTCCTCATCTTGTCTGTGTGTCTCCACCTCTTCTCATAGATGTGACAGGCACACTTGTCTTAATTTTGCTTCGGTTGAATGAATGCTAGAGATCAACATAGAGATTCTTGAACTGTGTTTCAGTGTAAAATGAAGGGTATAAAATGAAAAAAAATCAATAGTTTAAGAATCACTGAACAAACGTATGTATAAGTAGCAAGCGGTATTCCAGCAGTTGCCATTTTTTAAAGCTCTATGGACCATAAGGATATCTGCACCTGTTTTTATTATGAATGGATTTGTATTTAATACATTTTCAAAATATGTGAAATTTAATCTAATATACGATTTATAATAACTGAAGATTATTTTGACGAATGAGTCCTAAATGGGATATGACAAAAAAATGTATCCAGATATTATGCACATGACAAAATAATGACTGCACAGATAAAAACATAAAGAAAAACATATTTTAGAGGTCTGAGGATCAGTGACAATCTGTCCATCATCTACCTCATTATCAGAGCTACTGTACCATAATGTAAATTTCTTTCTGAAGTGAAGACAGCATTTGTTCTACAAAATACTGAATCTGCACTTTAATAAATATTTGGTCTGAAAGATAAATGCCAACTTTAAATCTTGCCAAGAAATACTGTCCTGTAGATGTGACAGTGCTGAACAACTTCCGCCTTTGTATTTTTGTCTTAACCTGCTTTTAAATGAATGAAATCCTTCCTGTCAGCTTCCTTTATGCTTTGAGCACATGTATGCTACTGCTCTGTTTTCTTTAAAAAAAAAAAGCAGCACTCTATTATTGGCTCTGTGTTGCTCTGGTTAATATCTTCAAAATTAATATACAGAAAATGTATTGTATGTGTTTTTCCTAGTACATAGCCTGAGTATATACAATTGAACTTACAAGGCATGAACGCAGCAGCTGCATACGCAGTTGCCAGTTTATTAGGTCCACCCAACTCAAACTAATGCAGTCTAATCCAACTGTCCTGCAGTAAATCCTCCTTCATGATGGTCATAATATTCAGTTTGTGTTTAAATGGTTTTAGAGACATGTTGATTCAATTGTCTGGTCATTTTGGAGGCTGCAGTTTGTGACGCCATTGATCTGTATTGCTTCATACAGAGATTCTGTTTGTAGCCTACCCTCATTAATATTAATAGGGTAGACAAAATAATAGAAACAATAAAATGCATTCCCCCCACGACCCTGTAGGCAGGATAAGCGTTCGACGATGGATGGATGGATGGATAATGCATTCCAACAGGTGTTTCTGTGAGGCTGCACAGATTGCTTTGAGCTGAACCCCAACATCAACATGCTAACAAGCTTATAATGGCAATGCTAACATGCTAATGTTAAGCTGGTATAATGTTACCATGTTCATCATTGTAAAGTTTAGCATGTTAGCAAGCTATCTAGCTGAGACTCATGGGAATGTCATTAGCTTTGCAGGTAATCCACAATTCCAAATTACAATGAAAACAAAAATCACCAGTACTATGTGTAGGTATTATGTAATGTTGATTCTGAAAGACCTAAATTCTCTGCAGTCTTGCATTGAGAAATCCAAAGAAGGTTAAAGGGAAGGGCAACTGGTAGTGATGTGTCCGTCCGTATCGAGGCTGCGAAGCGTGTGTCGAGTAATACAGGATGATTTTTGTGAAGCGCGTATCGAGGCTTGTGTTGATGACATATGTGGTGACGTTCGAAGCCTCGCGAGCCGGCCGTACGTGACTGATTCAGGAGATTCCAAAGGAGCAGCAAAATGCAACGGACCCTCCTCAACATTTTGTGGACTTTTGATCTTGAACACAATTAGATTTTATCTACAGCTCATTTTAAATGACTAAAAAAGTTGATCAACTTATGTCAGAATTGCTTTGATCAAGTAACTTCAAAAATTGTGATGAAACAGAGGAAAAGAAAGTGTTGACATTTTGTGGCTTTGGTAAGAATTAAACTCATATTATCATAATAATAATTTTCTAAAGCAGGTAAAATCATCTCCAAAAAAGAAACCACCTGAAACACTGTGGAAGGGTTATTTTTAAATAAAGATGAATAAAATGTTGTCTCTATTATCTAAAGTCACAAACCAAGTTATCACAACCCTCTCCCTTGTTTCCACTTTCCTTCTGACCCTGTCATTCTATCATAACAGACAGACACCTTATTAAAAAGTCATGTATTGGCATCACAAACATCATTCATTAATTTATTCAATTCAAAGCTTCACACACCAAAGCCGTGTTCCCGTTATAATCACTCTGCCTGTTTCACATTTATTGTCCACTTGATGGCACAGTAGAGCAAACGAAGCACCGTGAAGCTTCGGCCCATGAGTGAACCAACTGGATGGAAAGCTTCAATGCTTCATAAAGCTTCATCTCGCCATCACTAGCAACTGGACTTGGTTGAAGATACTAGAAGACGTTTCGTCCCTCATCCAAAGGACTTCTTCAGTTCTGGTACACTGAAAAATATTCCACTTGAATTGACTAACAATTTTTTCACAAAGGGGTGAACCGAGACCCGTTCTTACTTACAAAGACGGTGCCTCTGTCAGATGCTTCTTTTATAGCTAATCATGAAATCTCACCTGTTACCAATTAGCCTGCTTATTGTGGAGTCTTCCAAACGGGTTTTACTTGAATGTTCTGTGCACTTTAATTTTAACTCTGTCCCAACTTTTGTTGAGTGTGTTTATATTTACAAAATCCAATTTCGCTGGTCAGTGAAACTATTGAAAATATTTTCTTTGCACTTTTGTCTGTTAAATAAAGGTTCATATAAATTAACAAAGCAGAGATTTTTGTTTTTATAGCATTTTTAGAAAATATCCCAACTCTTCTGCAAATGGGGTTATTATTTGGGGGGGGGGGGCACAAAAAGCAATCCACAAATATATTGTAAAATCCACAAACAAACTCTTCGTGATCCACAAATACAAATCAGTAACTTGTACACAGACTGTGAATTATACAAGGCACTGAAGGATCACTGAATTAAAAAAAAATAATAATCTAATTAAACCATGGGAATGAGGTAGTACTTTGTGGCCACAAGGTAGTATGTCATTCCCATATTTGAATTACCTTAATTACCTCGTACCCATTTTTTTTCATTGTGACGCCCCGAGAGGTCTTGGTGTTGGGCCTCTGTACTGTGTGCTGTCTGTGTTTCTCCCTGCAGGGAATTAAGGAGATTGGGAGCATCTGGCCAGTAAGATCAACCTATTTAGGCCTGCCCGCCCAGACGCCAGCGTCGGTGCTTGCGCCTTCCACACCGCTCTGCCACATTGTTCTTTTGTTTTGTATTATTTTAAATACATTTATGTTATTCTTTGTTTAACCTGAGTTGCATCCTCCTCCTTTGTTGCGGCCATGAGAGCCGGGGTCGTAACATCATACAGTGATCCTTCAGGGGCTCCGTATCCAATGACAATCAGGGCAATCAACTTTTTTTCCAGGTCGTAAAGGTAACCTAGTTCAGCGCAGTTGCGTGCGTCAGTGAACCAATAATAATTATATATATATAATTATAATGCTTAAAATATCCTTGCATGTTAAACGTAATGTCTGCAGTCTGTAGATGATGATAAATCAAATTCATTACACCAGTTTATGGGTGCCCCATAACACACAACAACTTTTGTAATCAGGGGTCACCATGTATTTTAGAGCAAAACTGCCAGTAAACTGAAACACCGACCCACAAAAATGATTGCTGTCACTTTACAGCAAGATTTGAACAGTATTAACCTGTTATTTCTAAATACAGCACTTTACTGGTAATACAAAAGAAAATCTGTTGAACTACACTCTATTGATGTTTTTTTTTTTCGGCACCATGATGTATTTCTAAAATACAGCACTTTACTGTTAATCAACGAGTATCTTAGGTAACTGTATCATGCAATATTTTTTGCATTTTGGATCTGCACATGTAAAGCTGGATGCATTCTTTTCTTCATCTATCCCCAACTTACTATGTTTTGGGTGAGTCACAATTTTTATTTGTTCATAAATCAGTATGAAGTCCATCAATGATGTTTCCATGTTTGCATTGATGAATATGTGCATTTAGCATGTGAATTCAGCAGCTAGCTAGAAATTTGCACACAACACAAGGCTCATTTTAATTTCAACATATCTAAGTTGATGTGTGGACACATTTGGTTATTTTGTCAGTGCATTTTGTAAACCTTTTACAGTAAGCTATATAGAAGTAACTTTAATTAACAGTTTAAGTAACATTAAGGCTTCAGTGCATGCTAGTTATTGGGTGGTAATTCAACAGATTCAAAATTTACCTGCTCTTAACCATGTGCCTTAATAGAGCCTGAACATACAGTTAATTTCATTCATTCGTTCATTTTTCCTGCCAAGTCAATATTTATTTAGGTAAACAAAAAGTTTATTATAACACAAAAATAAATAAAACAAATGAGTTAACTGTAAGATACTGCAAAAAACAGCCATAGATTGTTTTTTAAACAAGTAAATGAACTGTAAAATACTGTGAAAGTAATCAAAAACCAGTTCATACTGTTTTTTTTAGTTAACAGTACAATATCGTAAATCTTAGTGACAGTAAAAGAACCTGGATTTTAACATTTTTCAATTACCAAGCCAGGTAAAACTTCCAATTTCCACTGTAAAAAGACTCAGAAAAGACTTAAAATTAAGTAAAAAAAAACTATACTTATATCAAAATGTATCTCTACAATAACATCCACTGGCACAGGTGCTCAGTTGTTTTGCTCCAGTAATAACTTCATACTCTGCATGGATGTAATTTGATCGTACAGAAAACAACCAAGCATCTTGTATGTACTGTATATCTGCAAAATTCACGGAAGAGGAAAATAAGGTGATGCTTTTGGAAAGCTTAAATATCTGTCAGGTTTGAACTAAATCAGGTTTTCATGTCAAAGTTCCCAGATATGATGTGAGCTGTCTCACAGTTAAATGTGTTTTCTTGGAAATGAACAATGCAAATAAGCAAGCATACTTCCTTTTATCCATATAACATTCATGAAATATCTCCTCAGCTCTACTCTTCTAGATGTAGTTACATTTGTTGCTCCTGTTCCACAGGTGTTGCCTACTTAGTGGGCTTGCCATCCCTCTCCCAGCAGTGCTGATGATTACATGATCGTCCTGGGGATTGGGCTGTGGATCCAAATTCAAAACAAAAGTTATCTTATTGCACTTTTAAATAAATGTAAATGTAAATAAAAATAAAATTAAAATAAAATATGTTTACTGAAACTTGCACTGAACGTAGAAGCGCATAGGAAAATGTAAAGTAGATGCTGACCTCCAGTTTATTTATAATCAGGAACATCAACGCTTATGAAAAGTCTTGTTTTTTTGCACCATCTGGTGTTAGAAACTGAGGCAGACAGCACCGGATAAAACATGCCTTGCTGAGATCCATTTTTATTTATTTTCTTCTTGCTAGTCTGTTGATCTGTTTAGATTGCAATACTCCAGGAAAGTTGTCTGAGGTTATTTAACTTCTTTCTCAGGTGTGATTGAAATAATTTGGAGAAAAGGCAGGGTACATGATTGGTTTATCATCACTTGAGTTTTTGTCTTATTTTTCTGTAAACTTAATGTTATTCTATCAGGATCCTTCAACAGATGTTATAATCAAACTCATTCACAGCATGGCTTTTAGGTTTTAAAATAGATTACCCATGTTGACAATACAGGACAATGACAGGACAATGATTGATTTACAATATATTATTGGTGGCAATGAATATCAAACTGTATGTCATCTAT